GCGAGATAGATGTCTGTCCAGCGTCTCGCTCAGCGAAGCGGCGCCCGGTGTAGATCGCCCCCACGGCCTTCAGCATTTTGTCCGGCAGCCCGAAGCGGCGCACAGCCCGCAGTAAGACCGCAGGGTCAATGGTGTCGAAGGTTTTGGCTTAGTCGAGCGCGAGGAAGACAAGATGAGCGCCTTTTGCTTCCCACGCATCGTCTTGGAATCGCCTCGCCATGAAGATGGCGTCTGTGGTTCCGCTCTGCGACCTAAATCAAAATTGCCTCGGCCAGACGCGCGATTCGGCGCCGGCTGCCTGAAGGCGTCGCAGTAGTACGGTAGCGTAAAGCTTGTAGCCAGCTTGCAGAAGATAGATCGGCCTGTAGTTCTAACAAAGAGAATCGTCGCCCGTTTTGAAAATTGCGACCACGAGCGACTCGTGACCAGGCCATCCTCCCAGCACTTCGAGCAGAGCGCCGTCGCCCATCTCCTCGCTGGCGACCCCAGCGCAGCGACGGCCTTCCAGAGGTCTCCAGGCACGCCGTCCGAGTCGCACGCTTTGCCTCATTTCATCTTTCGGGCCCCTGCCTCCTCGCTGTCAAGTATGGGGCCGAGGTCAACAGGGAGGGTGGGGCCCAGTGCTTCTTCACGCATCTCCGTGGTGTCCCGAGCAGCCCATTGCACCTCGCTGAGATGCTCCGCCATGGTGTCCGCCCGGGCCTCAGAATCGACGACTCGCCCTTCGCGGTTCCGGAGCCGGCCTTGCTGCGGGCAGACACCTTTTGCGGAGGCGTTAACCCAGGAGAGGCGAACCTATATTTTCCTTCAGTGTTTTCCACATGGCAACGCAGGCGTCGCCGCACGACGATTCGGGCCGGCGTTTGGGGGGCATGCTCCAGGAGACGGAGTGCCAGCGCCCTTTGTCTGCCGTCCTGCGTCCAGGGCTGCGGGCTGAGAGCCGGCGTCCACCAGCACCGCTCGGCGCACGTCTCACGCGGATCGGAATGCCGGAGGTTGGGAGAGGTTTTTCTGGCCCCTGAATAATGAGTTTTCAAAACCCACCGATTGAATTCGCGAGCGCCGACTGAAGTCGCATGTCCCTTGCATGACAAAGCTTCAACCTTGAGTCCAGAGTCGGTCAGGACATGCAAGGGCCGACAAGGGCCCCGGGAAGGGACCCGAGCAGGGCTAGGACGGGGCTGGGGCGGCCCAGGTGAGCCTTCTAGACTGTCCCAGCAGCCCTGCGTGAGGCCCGAACCCCGTTGGAAAGCTACAGTGGAGGCCCATGCCAGTGCAGGCGCAGCTGGCCACAGCCGCCGCGAAGGAAACATGAGGGCGGAGCAGCCGCCGGGCAGTAGGCGGGTCGGCCGCGGTCGCGGCCTGAGCTGGCGGCCAGGCAGGGGTTCAGCACGGCCCTCCGGGGTGGACGTTGCTGCCCCGTGGGGCCTTCGTGCCCGCGGAGTCGCCTCCTCCGCACTGCTACAAAAACAGCCATGCCAAGAAGCACCCTGCTTGCCTCCGGGGTGCCCTGGGTTTCTTGGGTTTCGGTGGTTTTGCGATGGAAGGCGCGACGTTACCGCACCAGAAAAGTAAGGGACGCCCTCGGATCTCAGGGTTGGGTTTCTAGTGGAGGGTTTCTTGTGGTCGGGCCCCCAGTGTATTGAAAGCGGGGCGGCATCTGGGCCCCAAGTTGGGACCGTCATTTTCCCAACGTTGATCCCCGAAGGCGTGCAAAACGGTGCCGACATTAGCATGCAGAAGTTGCCGCAGTCGAGCCCGAATTTCGGCGGTAACAGGCGTCCATATGACCCCCAGCGAGGTTAGAATAGCAATCAATGGGTGTCGTTATGCTTTTGAAGCCCCCAGCTGATAGGCAATGTTGGGCTCGGAGGCTTCCTGGGAGGGGGGTTCGCTAGAATCGGCGTCGCCCCAACACACTTCTACTATATGTGCGTCGCCCCCCCAGGGGCGACGCGCGCACCGAGAAATCTTACAGTATATGCGTCGCGGCGCGCGCTTTCTGGCCACCCCGCTCGGGAAACGATATGCTACAACATGTGTGTACTATATGTTCGGGTCGGACGCGCACCTCCAAGGAGGCCATGTAGTGCCAGCATGTGTCTGTGCGTCCCACGGAGGGGGGATGCTTCTGTGCAGCGAGCTCTCCCCGTCGAGTCGCACACGGGCTTCCGCCCGTTGGGCGGGCGGCCCCCGCCCCTCGGCCTCTCCTCTTGCCTCCTCCTGCCCTCGCCCGACCAACGCCGCCGCCCGGCAGCACGGGCCTCGGCGTCCTTGAGTATCTGTCGGGGGTGGACAGAACCCCCAGGCAGTGACACGTCGATTAGTGAGTTTCAGGAGGGGAAAAAACACACAGACACAATTAATCGTCGATTCCCAGGAAAATATGGGAAAATATGGGAAGTGGGGGGGAAGACAAAAACCAAGAAAATATGGGAAAATATGGGGGATCCTTTTATTTGTGTGTATTTATTTGTGTGTCCCAGTTCCCCTTCAGAGTTGTCCGTCTTCGGTTCTCGAGAGGGCGCCGTGGCCGATATTTTCCAGGCTCGCGCCCGCCAGGTCTGGGCCTCAGGCCGTTTTCACCAAACCACGTTTTACTGAAGGGGGGCCTGTCCATCCCCGAATCTGGTGTTGCCCCGAGGCGATTTTGGCCCAAGGTGCCCCCAGGATTTCCAGGGAGGCCCCCACGGCCTTCGGAACGCCCTTCGCGAGGCCCAGGGAGCCCCAGTGGGCCCAAGAAGGAGCGAGCAGCTGGGGGCACCTCGGGCCCGGGGCACCTCGAGCAACCCCCGAGAACAGTAGTCTGACCTCCGCGTGACTGCACAGACCGGCCGCGACCCTGCAGCGCCCGGCAAAGGACGCGCTCCTCGGCCCTCCTGCCCAAGCGGGGGGCCAGAACGCACACAGCTCGGAGGAGGGCCGGCCGGGACAGCGGCCCCCTTCTCGAGCTCCTCGGACGTCGTTCCTGTATGCCCTGGTGATTGCGGGCGCGCCCGGGGGGGTGGTCGCGGCGGCGCTGCCTGGGAATGTTTACAGGAGCCTGTTTTTTTTGGACTCCGGCAAGTTTAGTTGCATGGCGTTCGCCCCCTCCCCCCACCCACCCACCCTTTCGCCCCTCTTCAGGCGAATACCAGCGTGCAAGTGCCTTTCGACTTGCGTGATCTCCGTGCTCCCCCCCCCCCGGGCTTGCTTCAGGCTCAGCCCCCCTCCCCCCCCCCGTCCATGCAAGTAAACTTGCCAGAGTCTAAAACAAACAGGCTCCAGGAATGGGTGATTCCCACACGGAGCCGGCGCGAGTCGCGACGCGACGTGACAGAGGGGGGGCGGTCACGGCTCTTTTGCACTTTTTGTCCGGGCCGCTTCTAGAGGTTTCTCGTCGCCACTGCTGGATCCGCTTCGAACATCAGGTCACCCCTGGAGAGATTCGGGGACAGATTTTGAGCGGATTTGGGACGGGCGGGAGAGCCGCCTTTGTCTCAATTGGTCTCCGAGCATGATGCACAGAATTCCTGCGTGGACCCCGAACAGTGAATTCAGTAAGCAGTGCGATCAGATCTCTGTTGTGCAACGCAAGGCAAGGCATTGCACGGCAGTGCGATGCAGAGCAACGCACATCAAATCCACGCAGTGCGAAGCAATAGGCAGCAATGCAAAGTTTTCCATGACACAGCTCACGTCGCAACCTATGGCACCCAGAGGTCTCCCGGGCACCAGGCGCATCCTACGGCGCAAGCCGTGGGCACAACCTATCCGATATTGTCACGATACGATGCGGACCGATGATTGTACGGGCGCTGCTCTGCATTCTGGCACGGCCAATCCGATTCGATTTCGGTCCCGTGCCGATGTGTCCCGATTTGATGTTTGTTCTGCGACGACGGCGTCTATACACCACCACCGTGCCAGGCCAGGCCCATCCTGGGCCCTGGCATGGTGCGTAGACCCTCCTGGCCTCGGCCAGGAGGGCGTATGCACCACGCCAGGGCCAGCATGGCTCTGGCTCGGTGAGCTGGTGGTGGTGTACAGCTGCCTCCTGCGTGTGTTCCGATTCTGCCCGAGTTTGTCGAGGCGGCGCCGACGGAACGAGCTGGCTGGACCATGGGCTCGGGGCCGCCGCGGGAGGCTGGAGGGCTCGGCGGCCCAACACAGCGCGGCGGCTCCTCCCTCCCCCATCCCCCCCCCTTGTGGTCCCCGGTCCCACGAGGCCCCGAAGACGCCCGAGATGCATTCAAGACAGCCGACGAGGACTCCAGCACGCTCCAGTACGGACTCGAGAGGCTCCCCAAGAGGGCCCTGGAAGGCAAGATTCGTTTCTTTTCCGAGTGTTTCGGATTTTGGTGTTCTCGCTTTTCCCGCTTTCCAGCGCTCCCTCACGGCCTCGGAGGCCCTTCGGATCGCTCCAGAGAAGGCCCACGAGGCCCTGACGAGGGCCCAAGACGGCCCAGGAGGCTTCCCCAGACAACCCAACTGTGCCCCAAGAGCGCGCCAAGAGAAGGCCCAGAGGGGTCCCGAGGCGGCCCGGGCCCGCCCCGAAGCAGGCCACGACAGGCTAATGGAGGTCCCGAGAGGGCCCTAGACAGTCCCAAGAGGCCCCGAGGACGCCCAAGATGCCCTCAAGACGGCCGACGAGGACTCCAACACGCTCCAGGACGCCCCCCAAGAGGGCCCTGGGAGGCAAGATTCACTAATTTTCGGATGGTTTTTGAAGGATTTAGGTAGACGTTCTCGCTTCCCCCGCTTCCCAGCGCTCCCTCACGGCCTCGCTCGGAGGCCCTTCAGATCGCTCCAAAGCGGGCCACGAGGCCCGGAAGAGGGCTCCAAGACGGCCCAGGAGGCTCCCCAGACAACCCAATTGTGCCCCAAGAGTTCCCTAATAGAGGGCCCACAGGGGGACTGCCAACCGATATTTCGATGTCTCTGGCCCTAGAGGCCGCCTGTATGCCCCCGGAGGCCACCAAGCGTCTCCCAGGAAGCCCCAAGAGGCGCCCAAGAGGCCCCCCGTAGCCATTTTGGCTCAAGTCAAGCGGGACCGTCGGCCGCAGTGGCACTCGCAGCCACAACTATTCGTGGCGCGACGGCCGCCGCGCCGGCCCCCTTCGAGGTGTGGGGATGCAGATGCCGCCTGGCATGGCAGCGCCCACAAGGTATTCACACCTTGCCCCTTCGCCCCTGATGGACAACGATACGCCGCCAGTGCAGGCTCGCGCGGTGGCTCACCGGCATTTCGACGGCCGCGCTCTTGGGCCTGGCCGTGGCAGTAGCAGTGCACGCTGGTCACGCTCGAGTCGGTAACGCGTCGGGGCTCACGTCACTTCGCACAAACCTCAGTGTTGTGCTGTACGTCACGACGCATGCATCTGATCAGCACATGAGTTTCTTAGAGTGTCTGCCGCCGGTGCTTGCGGCTTCTCCGAGACTTTCGAAGGCGGACGTTATCCTGTGCGTCGGACGTGAGAATATCACCGACGACATGAGACGCAACATCACCGTGCTACTGGATAAGTGGCCCATGAGAAATAAGATCGTCCACTTCGGCGGCAATCCAGGGAAACAGGCGGGAGCAAAGCTTGCGGCCCACGTGGGATTTTCCAGCGGATGGTTTCGAGGGTACGATTGGGTTATCCGGGTCAACCCTGACACTGTGATCTACGACGATAAGCTGGTCTGGCCGCTCATGGAGAGGGCAGATAACTGGGGCGTCTTCGTCTCTTGCAAGGAGCACTGCAAGGACCATTTTGGCTGCGCCCCAGCGAGGACGCACACGGACTTTCTTGCCGTCCGGCCGTCCCGCGTGCCACGGGACGCCTTTGCCGACTGGCAGGCGTCTTCGCTGCACGCAGAGCTGCAGGCGACCGTGGCGTTCAGAGACATCTACGCGGCAAAGGCCGACGTGTACCTCCCGTGGTACACGGCGCACGGGGGCTGGCGCGTGGAATGCGGCGGCGTGTGGCACAGCACCCTCGCCTGCCCCGATCTGCTGGCGCCGCGTTCCCCGTGGCAGCGCTAGTCTGCGAGGCCTCCTCGGCATTCCATTCGGGGCCCTTTGGTTTCGTCCTCCAGCGCCCCTTTTTTCCCCTCTCGTGTATTTTTCCTTCCTGCGGCTGGTACTTCCCATTTGCATCCTTCGCTGGCACATGTTCAGCGTTGTTAATTTTCTGCTGCTGGCACATGCTCAGCTGCTTCTCTCGGCCGGCACTTGTGCTGCGCCGTTAATTATCTGCCTTCCCGCGCGTTGTGTCCCAGCCTCGTTCACACCACCCTCTGGACGTTTCCTTGCGGGCCGCGAATCCAAAACATAGTTTTCCTTCCTCGTGCTCCTCCATGCAGGGCCGCGCCCAGGCGCCACAGTGCCAAGCAGCAGCACGTTGCCGAGGCAGGCCCGTGCCAAGCAGCAGGTAGTTTCATGTTTGGCGTTCGATTGTTCCGCAAGGGAATTGCTCGGAGCCTCAGTACGTGCGCCGTTCGCGCCAATGCGCGTCAGGCTGCAATGCTGGCTTGCAGGTGACGTCCGCCTGCAGTCAGCCCAGTGAATTCGATGCAGGTGAGCTCCGCTTGCGAACAGCTCCGCATGTTGTACTCAGGAGCGGGTCGCTCCTGATCCTCTCTCATTCGTCCTCCTCCCCCAAGTGTCCCTTGCCTCTTGTTTTGGTTCTCGACAGCGGAGATCATTCAGGACGTCAGTTTGCTTGCCTTCGTCCCTGGTTGTGTTTAGCTGGCAGACATGGCTGCTGACTTCAGCGGGCCGTTCGGTATGCTGCTCGCGCACGGGCGCGTCAGCTTGCTGGGCCGTCCTGCAGGTGTTGTACAGATTTATTCGTCACCCCATGCTGCGTGACAAAATTAGCCTGGCGAAGGACCCAACCATATGCAGTTGTGAATGCCGCAATTGTGCTGGGTGGTGGCGGACGCAGGCGGGCGTTGCCACTGGGACCTTCGGTGGAGCTCCGTATGGGGCCACGAAACGCTGTACTGGGTGGGTGAGACGCGGTCAGCAAGGGCTGTGCTGCGTGGTGGCGGACGCACGCGAGCGGTGCCACTGGGACCTTCGGTGGAGGTCCCTATGATGCCACGAAGCGCTGTATTGCGTGGGTGAAACGCAGGCAGGGAGCAAGGGCTGTGCAGGGTGGTGGCGGACGCATGCGGACGGTGCCGCTGTGACCTTTTTGGTGGAGCTCCCTATAGGGCTACGAAGCGCTGTTTTGGGTGGGTGAAGCGCAGGGAACAAGGGCTGTGCTGGGTGGTGGCGGACGCAAGCGGGCAGTGCCACTGGGACCGTTGGTGGGGCCCCCTATGGGGCCACGAAACGTGCGAGGGGTGTGCCAGAATGGGGGGTGGAACCGCATGCCAGCGCAGCCACTGGGGCCTTCGGTGGAGCTCCCTATGGAGCCACGAAACGTGTGAGGGGTGTGCCGAAATGGGGGGTGGAACCGCATGCGAGCGCAGCCACTGCGGCGTTCGGTGGAGCTCCCTATGGGGCCACGAGACGTGTGAAGGGCGTGCCGAAAAAGGGGTGGAACCGCATGCGGCGCAGCCACTGGGGCCTTCGGTGGAGCTCCCTATGGGGCCACGAAACGTGTGAGGGGTGTGCCAGAATGGGGGGGGAACCGCATGCGGCGCAGCCACTGGGGCGTTCGGTGGAGCTCCCCATGGAGCCACCCACGAAGCGTGTGAGGGGTGTGCCGAATGGGGGGTGGAACCGCATGCGGGCGCAGCCACTGGGGCCTTCGGTGGAGCTCCCTATGGGGCCACGAAACGTGTGAGGGGTGTGCCAGAATGGGGGGTGGAACCGCATGCGGGCGCAGCCACTGGGGCCTTCGGTGGAGCTCCCTATGGGGCCACGAAACGTGTGAGGTGTGTGTGCCAGAATGGGGGGTGGAACCGCATGCGGGCGCAGCCACTGGGGCCTTCGGTGGAGCTCCCTATGGGGCCACGAAACGTGTGAGGGGTGTGCCAGAATGGGGGTGGAACCGCATGCGGGCGCAGCCACTGGGGCCTTCGGTGGAGCTCCCTATGGGGCCACGAAACGTGTGAGGGGTGTGCCAGAATGGGGGGTGGAACCGCATGCGGGCGCAGCCACTGGGGCCTTCGGTGGAGCTCCCTATGGGGCCACGAAACGTGTGAGGGGTGTGCCAGAATGGGGGGTGGAACCGCATGCGGGCGCAGCCACTGGGGCCTTCGGTGGAGCTCCCTATGGGGCCACGAAACGTGTGAGGGGTGTGCCAGAATGGGGGGTGGAACCGCATGCGGGCGCAGCCACTGGGGCCTTCGGTGGAGCTCCCTATGGGGCCACGAAACGTGTGAGGGGTGTGCCAGAATGGGGGGTGGAACCGCATGCGGGCGCAGCCACTGGGGCCTTCGGTGGAGCTCCCTATGGGGCCACGAAACGTGTGAGGGGTGTGCCAGAATGGGGGGTGGAACCGCATGCGGGCGCAGCCACTGGGGCCTTCGGTGGAGCTCCCTATGGGGCCACGAAACGTGTGAGGGGTGTGCCAGAATGGGGGGTGGAACCGCATGCGGGCGCAGCCACTGGGGCCTTCGGTGGAGCTCCCTATGGGGCCACGAAACGTGTGAGGGGTGTGCCAGAATGGGGGGTGGAACCGCATGCGGGCGCAGCCACTGGGGCCTTCGGTGGAGCTCCCTATGGGGCCACGAAACGTGTGAGGGGTGTGCCAGAATGGGGGGTGGAACCGCATGCGGGCGCAGCCACTGGGGCCTTCGGTGGAGCTCCCTGTGGGGCCACGAAACGTGTGAGGGGTGTGCCAGAATGGAGGGTGGAACCGCATGCGGGCGCAGCCACTGGGGCCTTCGGTGGAGCCCCCATATGGGGCCACGAAACGTGTGAGGGGTGTGCCAGAATGGGTGTGGGAGGGGGAGGAGGGGGGAGGAGGGAGGGAGTGGGAGGGGGGAGGAAGGGGAGGAGGAGGAAGGAGGAAGGAACGCGGGGCGACGTCTCTTCAAAACGAGGACCCAACACCACATGATGGTTGGGAAAAAGAGGCGCCCAAGAGGCCCCCAGGAAACCCCAAGAGACCCCAAGGGGCTCCCAGGGAACGCCCAAGAGGCCCCCCAACACACCCCAAGAAATCATGTCCCCAGAAAACCTTCCAGGGACATGGTTCATCATGGGCCCGAGAGTTCCCGGAGGCCCCTAAGGGGCCCCCAGGGAACGCCCAAGAGACCCCCCAACACACCCCAATAAACCATGTCTTCAGAAAGCCTTCCAGGGACATGGTTCATCATGGGCCCGCGAGTCTCCAGAGGCTTCGAAGTACCATCATGCTACAGGAGAGCTGTCTGGGAAGTTGATTGGGAACATGACTGATTGCCTTCTCGAGGCCCTCCGCAGATCGGTTCGCACAAAGTTGCCCCAAGTGCCCTCTTGAACCGACGACGACGAAACGACGACGACGACGACGACGACGACGACGACGACGACGGCGACGGCGACGGCGACGGCGACGGCGACGGCGACGGCGACGGCGACGGCGACGGCGACGGCGACGGCGACGGCGGCGGCGACGGCGACGACGACGACGACGACGACGGCGCGCCCCAATAGGCGACGACGACATTACGACGACGACGACGACGACGGCACACCCCAACAGGCTCCCCAAGACGCCCCCAAACCCATGCTCCCAGAAGGCCTTCTGGGAACCCGATTCATACGGCCTCCGCCCCGTGAAGCAATGAACTCGTCAAGGTCTGGGGCCTGCTGGAACCTGAGCGCGCGCGAAGCGCGCGCGATGGTTCTAGTATAAATATAGTATGTATGCATGCATGTATGCATGCATGAATGTATGTATGCATGTGTATATTGGGATTGGGCCAGGGGGCGGCCTAAGAGGCGCCCAAGAGGGTTCAAGAAGGCCCCAAAAAGGCCCCAAGAAGGGCCAAAGAGGAGAACACGAATCGACAAGTCGAGCCTTCGCCCCAACAGGCCCCCAGGAGGCCCTAAGAGGCCCAAAAGAGGTTCCCAAACGGCCCCAAAACTGCCCCCAAGAGGCCCAAGGAGGCCCCAACTAGTTCCAAAACGCCCCCCCCTACGAGGCGTATATTATATGAAGGGGGGGGTTCTACTCATTGTCTTCCTGCTCCCCTTGCTGCCCTCCCCGTCATCCACGCTCTCATCGTCGCCATCCGCCGCGCTGTCCTCGCCATCATCAATTCTTTTTAACCCCTGCGAGCCCACTTGGCAAGATCAGTGCTTCCCGTTCTTGTCCGATCAGGTCCGCCCCTGGACATTGCAATTTGCATACGATAGTGCCCCCATCATTCATTTTCCATCTCAACGCGTACCATCCCAGCAGGCGGGTATCGCTCCCCCTCCCGCCCCTGTCAAATAGTAGCATGCTTGGACAGCCGCTCATCTCAAGAGATCATTTTAGAATTCTCCGTGCAGCATGCATATACTGTACCACAAAGGCCACGCGCGCTCCAAAAACAACATGTGTCCAAGCATTCCTATATAACAGCTTCAGACACATGTTAGGGATGTTATCACGCATGCTGAAAGCTTGCCCGCCGGCGAGTACTTGCTGACATGAAACGAAAACAGTGCGAGGTTGGCAAAGTCGTCCACAAGCGGCAGTTTCATCTCACCACGCGGTGCATCTGCGTTGATCCGCATGTGCCTTGTGCACGAATCCGTATCTAGTAATACCATGCCGGTCACATGCACGCGCCGCCACGCGCGCGTGTCGAAATCTGGTCAAAGCCGTTGGTTGTCGAAGCATTTCAAGATCGACCTCTTCAGAAACACGCAATCAACACTATGGTCTTGAATCAAGCATCTGCAAGTTTTTTTATGTTCTACGCTCGCGCTTCATCGCCATCACCCTCAACAGCACCATCGCATCACCGCTGTCATCGTTCATCGCTGGCCTTGCCGCCTTCATTAGCACTATCACCTTCATCGCCGACACAAGGACATGATTCATCGTCATCGCCGTCACCAGCGTCGGCGCCGTCAGTGGCCTTGCCGTCGTCATCATCATCATCATCATCATCATCATCATCATCATCATCATCATCATCACCATCACCATCATCATCATCATCACCACCATCATCATCATCATCATCATCATCATCATCATCATCATCGCCAGCCCCGTCGGTACCATCATCATCGTCCACCGTTGTCGACGTCATCATGATTCCGCGCTCGCCCGAGTCACCGGGCCGTGCTGAAGTGCCCGCGCGCCAGCGCGGCCTTGGAGACGCGGGGGGGGCTCCCATCGGTGAGCGCCATCGCGGCCGCGTCAGTATGCGCGCAAGCATACGCGCGCCAGCGCGGCCGCCCAGATGCTCTAGCAATTGCCAACTGGCAGCCGCAATCGTAGCCGCATGGGTTCTGTTAAATGCGTTACGGGTGGGAGGGCGGGATGTTTGCGCAAACAGTGGAGAAGACGGCTTCAAGTTTAACAGTTTGGATTGCACCACATAGTTTGCACCTCATGGCTTAGGAAACCAATCTACGACATGTCCAGGAGCAACGCACGGGGGCATGCAATGAGCTATGGTACAAGTTTGCTTCTCTGCGTGTAAACCTCTTTACCTGGACGGCGTACTTGGGCCCTCCTGAGTCATCTTCGGGGCATACTGGGACCATCTTCGGCCGTCTTCGGCTCTCCAGGTCTTTTTCGGGGCCTCTTCAGGGCGCTTCTGGACTTTGGAGGCGTCCTTTGGTTATCTTGGCCGTCTGGTGCCGTCCCACAGGGGTTCCTGGGTGATCGTCGAGCGGCCAGGAGGTTGAGGGACACCCCCGCAGATGTTTTTCCGTGGGGCGGCAAATTTGGAGAGACAAGACGAGAACAGGAAAGGCGTCAGGGAAC